GGGGGGGGGGGGGTAGGGATATCAGAAACCTTTTGGGTCTGCCAGTCAAAATAGAACAAGCTAAGAGAACATGATGTTGAATCGTACAGTAACTTGATTCTCTAAACCTTGTTCCTCGAGAATTTTAATCACAATTCTCTGCCCTTTTTTTTCAAATAAAAGAGGAGAACCTCTCAAATTTTATTAATACTAGTCTGTCACAATTCTCTACTGCCGAGGGTCTTCGAAACATCATCTCTACCTCCAGGGGTAAGGTATGCGTACAAACTACCCTCCTCAGATCTCACTTGTGGGATTATACTGGGTATGTTGTTGTTGTTGTTGTCACAATTCTCTACTGATTTTCAGTTTTCTCCTGAGAAGTCTCTGTGATGCTAAATCTATGATCTTTTATATTTGCAGAGCACCAGATTGGAAGGTGCCAACAGCTTTCATATATGGATACGAAGATTGGATGAATTATCAAGGAGCGGAACAGGCTAGGAAGAATATGAAGGTTCCATGTGAAATCTTAAGAGTCCCTCAGGTTCTCTCTCTCTCTGTAGAAAAAATAATTTAACTTTTATTCTTGTTTCCCCAAACTACATGATAGTATTAAATGAAGCGCCTTTATTTAATACTACACTTGCTTGCAGGCTGGTCACTTTGTATTTATAGACAACACAGCCGCATTCCACTCTGCTGTACTCTATGCTTGCCGTAGATTTATCTCACCACAGAAGGACAATGACCCACTTCCTGAAGGCTTGATATCTGTCTGATGGAGATACATTGCCGTGGTGTTTTCATTGCGTGTGTTGTAGGTAAATAGTGTACAATAGCATATTAGCATTGATTTAATATTCTCTCAAATGTGTTTACTGGTCTGAGTAACGTAACTTACCAGTTTCTCAGAACATAATATCAATGTTAAGGAAGTCATGAATGGGTAGCATTCTGTTCTTCTGATTGTTCGTTCCTTGTAGGAAGTCATGCACAGATAGGTCGATGATTTGTGTTCTTGAAATTACATTAATTTTTTTTATGAATAGTGTACTCAAAAGTTACGAAAGCAATAAGATGATGTACAAATAATTTTGAATTGGATATATTGTCCATACTTATTGCTTGGTTCTGATGTGCACCGTGGAGAAGGAAATTCACAGTGTTTTATTCAAAAGATATAATATCATTGAGAGGTGCCGTGTTAGGTGTCAGTAGGAAACAACGTCATTGTCGTCACTTCTCCCCTAATTTTGAAGTTGAATGCCATTCCTCCAATCAATATTAAAGCCTCAAATTGAAGGAAGACAGACCAAAGGAAGAAAGAAATGGCACGCATGATGAATTTTGTTTACTTGTTGGGCTCTGTGACTCGTTCTGGGCTAAATCAGTTGGAATCCAAATTAGGCAACGGCAATGTGATGATGTGACATCTAGCAGGAGAAAACGAAAAGGAAAATGAAAATGTAACACAGAGTATTAAGCATTAGCAGCTGGATGAGTGAGAGAGGAACTGGCTTATTACACCCTGTATCCTCTATTCCTCTATCTAGCCGTTATTTTTCCAAACCTTGTATCCTCCTATCTGCCAAAGTCAAGAAAATAATAGTACGTGAGAAACATTAATTGGGACAAAAAGAAGATCAACTTTTATAAGTATGTGATTTGAAAAGAAATCAAGAATCGACAGCCAACTGGAGTCGATTATTAGTAGAAAAACGAACTCGCTTTGTCATTTACTTGAACGAAGCATTTTCATGGACACCATGTGCTAAACGGTTTGGATAATCATTAAAGTCTGCTTGAGATTACACAACAACCAACGCAATTTGGAGAAATGATGATGCTAAAGAGACTCCTTTAATCTATATTCTAACATAGTAACATCACATGGTGCATCTTTGTCGTCTAAATCCCGAAGTTAAAAATTCACTCAAACTGTGGGACAAATTGAGGGAAAAAGTTTTTTTCTTTTTTGTCCATGTGTATACGGTTAAAATCGAAGAGTCCGATTTTACGATCATTACGGTATTCCATAGCCCGTCTCCAGAAGGCTCGAGGCGCAGCTCGAGGTTCGACCCTGAGGGTTCCCAACGTTTGACCTCGGGGCAGTACAAATCGGTGGCTATGATGGACAAATGGAAAGTTCCCAAGGCACGTGATTAAAGCTGACCAAGTCTATTGGGCTAGTACAACCCCGTACGATAGCATTAAATGGTTGTACCAGCCGCATATCTTTGTAATAAATGCATCTGTACTATGTTGGGATTCCCCCTCATATATAAAGGGAACCCTTATCATTTTGTAATATACATAATATTCAATACAAGAACATTCTCTACTCTCTAACTTAAATACTCTCTATTGTCTTTCCTTTGATTTATTACTTATATTTATTGCGTTTCATTGATTGTTCTTCATTTATTACTCATCATTGATCATAAAGAGCCATCATCAAGGCTCTTAAAACTGTTAGTCCTTTATCGGCTATCCACAACCTAACGCTTTAGCTCGACCTCGAGGCCCAGTATAGGCTAGCTCTAGACCCCGATTCTCGGCTACTCGATTTGCATAAGCGTTCTATTTTAGTATCACGCTTAGCATCTATTGCCTAACAACTAGCATTAAAATAAATCGCGTATTTTTAGAACCACAAAATCAAATCTAATTGTAATTACCATTTTCAAGGTAAACAGTTTGGCGCCCACGTGGAGCAAAAAATAATAGTGATTGTCTTCGTACTGGTTTACTGAAAACACAAGTTATTCTTTACACTTTTTCTTGCCCAAGAATCTTTGATTTCAGGTCAAAATGTCTAACTCTGTGAATACACATAAAAACAACGGTCTTGAAGACCATGGAGAGAATGGTGTAGTTGTTCCAGGTGTCGGTGTACCACTGCGAAACCCTGAGGATGCACCAGAGCTACTCCCCGTGGATGTGGTCTCACGCAATGCCCAACATGTCGATATAAGCTCCCACACTAGTAGGAGTATACACCAAGAAAACCAACAAGAAGCTCAGAAAACCTCGGCTCGGGAGGAACAAAAGGCTAGCCTTCACATCATTTTTGAGATGTTATAGGCACAACAGCTGGCGATTGCTTCAACTGCAAAGCCACCAAAAAATTCCAAGCACAGCAGCACCGGAAATGGCCCCTCAAGCCGAACAGGTGCCGAAAAGATCGAGCTACAACGGGTCAGCAACCAACCCCGCTATTATGAAGATGCTCGTGGACTTTATAAATAGGATTGAATCGGGCGAAAAGAGGATAGAAGCTAATGATAAAATGGTGGAGACCTACAATTCAAGGGTCAATCAGATCCCGGGCGCACCCCCGATCCTGAAGGGTGTTGATTCAAATAATTTCATACAAAAGCCCTTCCCGTCAAGTGCGGCTCTGAAGCCTATCCCGAAGAAATTCAGAATGCCCGATCTCCCAAAGTATAACGAAACCTCGGATCCAAGCGAGCACGTCACTGCTTACACTTGTGCCGTAAAGGGAAACGACCTGAAGGACGACGAAATTCAATTCGTCCTGTTGAAGAAATTCGGGGAAACACTTTCAAAAGGGGCCATGATGTAGTATCAAAATCTATCCGCGAATTCGATAGACTCATTCGCCATGCTGGCAGATTATTTTATAAAGGCACATGCCGGTGCCATCAAGGTTGCTACAAGAAAATCTGACATCTTCAAAATCAAACAAAGAGAAAACGAGATGTTGTAGGAGTTTGTATTTCACTTCCAAATGGAGAGAATGGAATTACCACCAGTCTCCGATGACTGGGCAGTGCAAGCCTTCACCCAAGGTTTGAACGAACGAAGCTCGGTAGCTTCAAAGCAACTAAAGCAGAACTTGGTTGAATATCCCGTCGTGACTTGGTCGGATGTCCACAATTGATATCAGTCGAAGATTAGGGTCGAGGACGACCAAATAGGAGCCCCTCGGGCTCAGTATATCCTAGCAGGCGCATGGCAAAGGAACCAAAGCCAAACAAGGAAAGGAACCAATCATGCACTGAAGATCGAAGAAACGCCCCAAGGCATAACATACCCCGAAAGGGCAGATCGAGGTCAGAATCCTCGGGGACTCATGAGCAGAGCCGGATTCAACAGATACACAGGACCAACGGAGGCGCCCTGATTATCTGAGTACAACTTTAGCATTGATGTTTCAGATATCGTATCTGCCATTGGTAAGATCAGAGACACTAGGTGGCCAAGACCTGTACTATCAGATCCATCACAAAGAAACCCTAACATGGTGTGCGAATTTCACGGTACGCATGGCCATAGGACCGAAGATTGCAGACAGCTTCGAGAAGAAGTAGCCCGACTAATCAACAAAGGGCACCTCCGAGAGTTCCCTCAATGAGCGAGCCAAAAATCAGTTTCAGGAAAGAGAAGCAAACAGGAAAAATGAAACAGATGAGCCACAACATGTCATCCACATGATCGTTGGAGGAATCGACATCTCGCAGGAACCCATTGTCAAAAGAACAAAAATATCTATCACTAGGGAGAAGCAAACTCGAGGTTATGTACCCGAGGACGCTCTCACATTCAGCGACGAGGACATCGAGACCCTGTTTCATCCTCATAACGATGCATTGGTAATTTATTTTCTTGTAAATACATTTCAAATTAAGCGTGTGCTTGTGGATCCAGATAGCTCGGCCAACATTATTAGGTCGAGGGTGGTGGAGCAGCTCAGATTGCTCGACCAGATCGTACCCGCCTCTCGAGTCCTCAATGGATTCAACATGGCGAGCGAGACAACGAAAGGGGAAATCACCCTCCTAGTCAACGTGGCCGGCACAACCCAAAAGGTCAAATTTCATGTCATCAAAGGAGACATAAGGTACAATGCCTTGCTCGGAACGCCATGGATACACTGCATGAGAGAAGTACCATCAACCCTTCATCAAATGATGAAGTTTCCGATGAAGGACGGAATCAAAACTGTATACGGGGAACAACATGCAGCAAGAGAGATGTTTGCGGTGCACGATGTGGCATCGACGTCGAAGCCTTCAACATTGATGGAGCCAAAGGATAAGCAAACAGTAAAGTAGCAATCACGAGATACATTCTCAGCTACACCCGAATAAATGAGCAAAGGACCGTACCGCGTCTCCGGAGCAAACGATTGAAGCATATTGAGGCTCGAAGCACCACCACCACTAAGGTATAACCATCTCCCTTTTTATTTACATCTTACACTAACCTATGTGCAGGTGTCTGGCTAGAACAATCGAAGCACTTTCCAGCTTAACAAGTATTCAGGGCTTCTCTTCAATCAACCTCGAACACTGGGGGGCATCCCCCCGGGAGATCACCTTCTCGAAGAAATCAAGATGAGCTAAAAAAGGTCTCGATAGGAAAATGATGTATCAGGCCAAACGACCGAATAAACCGTGTCCGCATAGAATAATTGAACCTTTGATGATGAAAACATGTATACCTGTACCAAGTAATCAAAGAAGTATCCTTTACCACCAAAAACACTTTGTGCTTCAAAGAAGTCTGCTATTTTTACAAGAAACGGCTCCAGGGCCAGAAATTTCCCGAACACTCGGGGACTGACATCAAAGTTTACAAAGAAGAGCTCCAGAGCTAAAAAAGCGCTCAATGTCTCGAGGACTGTCACCCATCGAGTTGTCAAAAACTCGAGGCCATAAGGCCCCGTGCGGGCAACCTCGAGCTCATAAGACCTCCATAAGGCAATACCAAATCTATAAGACCTCAAGCAAGGCATGAATTATACTTATGCCAAGTAACCTATCTATAAGACCTCAAGTAAGGCATGTTCAAATTTATAAGACCTTACAAAAGGCGTAATCCCGATCTTAAAGTTAAGGTTATATATTCGAACTTGTAAGACCCCTAAAAAGGCATACCCTCGATATAGATGTCGAAGATACTTCACTCGGGGACTAAAGGGCTACGACCAAACACAATGACTACGGTCATAAGGCTTCGGTCAATCTAACGTGACTCGAGGATGCTCGATCGTTGCCATATAATCACAGGCCTTCAACTACTTTGAGAATACTTCAAAAAAACCGGTTAATCAGGCTAGCCTCGGCATAAGCAAAAGA